TCCCAGATTTGCCACCAAATTCAGGTCACATTAACCCTAATCCAGACTATTTCTGGCCTCCAGCTTTGGCAGTAAATTATTGACACCCAAATTCCATAAATTCCCAGATTTGCCACCAAATTCAGGTCACATTAACCCTAATCCAGACTATTTCTGGCCTCCAGCTTTGGCAATAAATTATTGACACCTAAATTCCATAAATTTGGATTTGGACCAGTGATAAATATAAATATAAATATAAATATAAATATAAATATAAATATAAATATAAATATAAATATCTCCCAAAACACCCAGCCTGAAATCATTCCCTGTTCCCCACAATCTGTGTTGGATGTGGCAGCATCCCTGAGGTGCTGCTGGAAGGGACCTGGAGAAAAAGGAATTGGGAATCTCCTCACTCACCCCACGTCAGCAAGGAGGAAGCTCACGCTTCCCAGGAAAAATATCCCTTTTTAATCCCTACCAAGCAAATTCTAAAGCTTTTAAATCTCGATTTTCTCTGTTTTAAACCGAAGTGAGGTGAATTAATGCCTGCCTCAACCTCAGTTCCATCTGGATAATCCTGCATCAGGGCTCCTGTTGGAAGGATGCCCCTGGAAATGGCACATCCAGGTTTAGGAAGGTTGGTAAAATTCTCTTTTTGGTGAAAAACTGGGAGATTACAGATACAGGGGGAGCTGTAAAGAATTCCCAGTAAATTCCCAGTACAGCAGAGTGAAAGCCAAGCAGTTTTCTGGGAAAAGGCTTTTTCCTGCCTTGTCCTTTGGGTGGACATTCCAGCAGGCAGGGACAGGCAGGAGATAAAGGAGGAAATCCCTTTCAGCTTCACAGCAATCCATCCAAGGGGGAATGTCTTCCCAAAAAGTAAACAAATCCTACAAAAACTTATCTGCTGTAATTGCACCGCTCCCCTAAAAGCCTCTTTTCCCAGTGGTAGCCAGCAAATCTCTGGAAATGCCAGAAGAAAGGGATTGCTCATATAAACACATCCATTTCCAGGGGAAGTTTACTCTTCCTATAGCCAGAGGATGTTTATTTTTGGGGGAAAAGAGCACGTTAAAACCTTTCCTCCCTTCTCCTCCATCCCCACTCAGGAGCAGCCATTCCTCATCCCCGAGGTTTAGCAGGTCAAGGGAAGGGGGAGCCCCAGTGAAAACGTGAGGAAAAATAAATACAGGGAATAAAATGGATAAACAAAACAGCTGAGCTGGAGTTTGGAGGCTAAAAATTCCCTGGCTGGTGTGGCAGCACATTTCTCTCCCTCTCAGGATTTTTCATAGAGGTGCACAGAGAGAAATGAAAGAGAAAACAATTTCTATTTCTGCTCCTTGTTTTTCCCATGTGGAATGTGTTTGGAGAATTGTTTCCCTGGGGTGATGCTTGGTTGGATTCTGGTGAGGATTGTTTGAGCCTGGTGGCCAAATCCAAATCCAACCCACTGGGTCTGGACAGAGAGAGGGTCATGAGCTGTTTTAGAGTCAGAGAAAGTAGGATGTAGTTTTAGTATCCTCCTTTTATATAGTATAATAATGTATTTTAGCATAGTTATAATAAAGAAATCATTCAGCCTTCTGAATTGAGTCAGACATCAGCATTTTTTCCCATTAGGTTCACCTGCATTTACAATAGGTGGGGCAGAGACAAAGGATGGCTGAGAACTTTGTGGGGTGATGCTAAATTTCCCCTGGACCACAATGCCAGTCCCTCTGCTGCCCTCTGGGAATGGGGCTGGAATGCCAGGGAGGTCTGGAATTCTCCGTTTTAGAGATGCAAAATCAATGGCAACGATTTGAACTCGGGTTTTACACAGCCCTAATGAAGTTTAATGGGTGCCATTAGGAAAATTGGGAGCACCAGCACAATCCATCATTGCACAGATAAATGGGCAATGGGATAAAAGAATATCTGGGGGGTTTTTTAGTACTATTTAACCAGCAACTCCTGTATCCAAAAGGAAAATCACCAGGGAAAATACCTAAAATTCAAGTTATTGTTTCATGTCCCTGCTTGCTGTACTGTGGTAACTTTTTCTGCTTTCAAATTTTGCAGCTGCAGTTAGCTCCAAGTTTTCTGTTTTGTTTCCCAGTTTTCTGAAAATCTTCTTGCCTTTACTATTTCCCACAGTGGAACTGGGAATAAAACCAGCTAAGGATGAAATCCTGGTTTGGGATTTCCAGTCCAATTCCAGGACCTCTTCCTAGAGTTTTGAAGACTCCAAGGATGGAGTTTGCACAGCTTCTCTGAGTTCTTGGAAGAGCAGAGAGGAAACAGCTGAAAATTCACTTTCTGCTTGTCTTGGGCACCAAAGCAGCTTCTCAGGACACCTCTGCTTCCAGAGCAGGGAATCCAGGGAAGGAGAATCCCAGATGAGCTCTGGAGTTCAATTTTCAAGCAGGGTGTGCTGGTGACTGGGAAAGTTCCAAAATTCCTGAGGCTCTTCCTGGTGCTGCAGCCTGGTCAAGGTGCCAAGAGGAAATCCCTGTCCCAAAGAGAGAGAGAGAAGAATCCTGGAATCATGGAATGGTTTGGGTTGGAAAGGAGCTTAAAGCTCACCCCAATTCACCCATTCCATGGGCAGGGACATCTCCCACTGTCCCAGATTGCTCCAGCCTGGCCTTGGGGACGGCCAGGGGCAGCCACAGCTGCTCTGGGAATTCCAGCCCAGCCAGGAATTCCCAATATCCCGTCTGTCCCTTGTCATTCCCTGGCTCCTGTCCCTCCAGCCCTTGTCCCCAGTCCCTCTCCAGCTCTCCTGGAGCCCTGGAAGGTCTCTGAGGATTCCCTGGAGCCTTCCCTTCTCCAGGGGAACATTCCCGGGGCTCTGAGCTCTGCCTGGATCCTTCCCTTCTCCAGGGGAACATTCCCGGGGCTCTGAGCTCTGCCTGGATCCTTCCCTTCTCCAGGGGAACATTCCCGGGGCTCTGAGCTCTGCCTGGATCCTTTCCTGCTCCAGGAGAACATTCCCAGCTCTCCCAGCCTTTCCCTCTGATCCTCTCACGGTCTCCTCCGGACTCTCCAGCAGCTCCACATCCTTTCCATTCTGAAGATCCCTGAGGAAAAAAAAACATCTCAGTAACAACAGCAAAACCTGGCCATGAATTTCAGCTCTCAGCTCCAGGTTTGGACACTGAGGAGTTTCCCTGAACTGAAGCCAGGTGGATTTTTGCAAAAAGGCTTTGGAAGGAGGAATTTGGAATCCTGTCGTGTGCATTTCTTCCTCTCCTTCAAACTGAGAGCAGCAATCTCCGAGGGAAGAATTTAATCAAAGCCAGCTGCTAATTACTTTCCTGACACCAGGGGAGAAGGATGTTGGCATCCAAAAGATCAGGAAGATTTTTTTCCTTATTAATATTTGATAAATCTGTAATTGGAACGTTTGATTTCGCAGTCTCCTTTGAATAGGAATTTTATTGAAATGAATCTTTATGAATTCAAGCCACAAATGTGAGGGGCTGATAATTCATGGATTGATTGGAGTAGCTAGAAGTGGCAGCCTTGGAGAGGAGATAAATTGGGATTGCCTAAGGACAAGTCAATACAGGCTGGATTTAATCCACAGTGCTTCCTACTAGAGGAATAAATTACATTCTGTAAAGAGTTAAAGTTGAATTTCTCTGATTTCTCATCTCTTTTTTTCTTTTTTTTCTTTTTTTTTTTTTTTGCTGAAGTTCAGAGATTCCACATGAATATTTAATGCAAAAGCAAACGAGAATTAAGTGTGCTAACATTGAATTAATAAAAGAGTTGAGTGGCGTCCAATAGTGAACGAATGCGCTCATGAAAAAAAAAAAAAGTCCAAAAATCAAAAATTGCAACATTATAGCTACTTAATACATCACATTGTTTAGGAATGGACATCACAATTTCCTCTTGATCCCGATAAAATAACACCAAGACTTTATTAAATGCAGTAAGGACATTGTAAGGCTGAATATTATTACTCTGGCCACAAACCCAATGTCCTGCTCTGATTTTGAACTATGCAAACCTCTGGCACTGCTTTATGTTAATAAATTCCTGCTAATAAACCAGTGACAAAGCAAAATAAATGTCCAGAAACCTCTGGTTTAAAAGGAAAATAAATCCAAGGCCTTGTGTGAAATCACTGAGGGATGGGAACGCCCAAACTTTTATTTGGGAGAGATTAAAATTCCTTTTTCTTCACCAGCAACGCTGCTTGGGACAGACAGTGAAGAAATGGCAAAAAAAATGAGGAAAAACTTTTAATCCTTGGGAAACCTATCCAGAACTTTTCCAATAAAAAAAACCCAAAACCAACAGAGAGGGGAGGCACTAAAGCAGGTTTTAAATATCTTTATTATTAATTTGTAGAAGTTATTTGATGTATTGCCCTTGAAGACATAATTTTGTGGTAGAACGGCCACTGATGCTCCCCATTCCCAGCGAACCTCCGGCTTTGCGCTTCTCCTTAGCAGAAACACCCCCCTTCCTTTTAATTCGCTCAAATAAAACCCCTTTTCCCCTTTTTTCTCCCCATTTCTCACTTTTTTTGGGAATTCCCGGGAACGCTGAGGGCGATGAGGGGCGGCTGCCGCTCCGTGAGCGCCCCCTGCTGCCCCGCGCGGGAACAGCCCCGCCACACGGGGCAACGCCGGCTTGGGAGCACCGAGGGGACACCGAGGGGACACCGAGGGGACACCGAGGGGACACCGAGGGGACACCACGGCCCCGCCACGCCCGATCCCGGCCCCACCGCTCCCACGGGAACCTCCTCGGCCCCGCCGCCATCGCCGCCTTCCCCTCACGGCCTCCGCCTCCCCCTCCCGCGGCCCTGAGCAACCGAACGCCGAGCGGCAGATCCCGCGCGGTTCCGCGCCGCGCGCATCGAGGTGTTCGGTAGATCGGCTGGCTGCGCCTGGAGGCGCGCGGCGAGGGCGCGGCGGGGGCGGGTGGGCGCCGCCATTTTGCAGGAAGGGGTGAGGGGGGCCGGGGGCTTCATTTTTATTTTTATTTTCCTCCGCTTCTTTCTCCCCTTTTTCCCGTTTTCTTCTCCCGTTTGTATTTGCTGCTTCCTTCCCGTCGGCTGCCGCTGTCTGTCCGCGGCGGCGCCGCTGCTGGGAGGTGGGGAGGCCGTGCGGGCTGTGAGGGGGCTCCGTGGCCGGGGAGTTCAGCGCCTTATTTTAATTCCCTTTTATCTTTCCTTCATTTTCCTCGTCATTTTTCTGTTGTTTCCTTTCTTCCTTTCTCTTTTCCAGGCGTGTCCGGGCCTGGCAGCGAGGGGAGAGCAGCGTCATGGCCAATGTGAGTGAGTGCGGATATCCCAGGAACGGCGGAATTCAGGATTAAATGGAATTACAAACAGGTTTGGGTGGGAAAAAAAACCCCAAAAACCTAAAAAATAATTTCATTCCCACTCCGTGCCGTGGGCAGGGACAGCTTCCAGCGTGTTTGGAACTTGCAGGACCTCACACCCTCCCAGGGGGGAATTTCTCTCTAATATCCCAATCCAGCTCCAGTGGGAATATCCCATTTTTACAATGGAATTCGACATTAAATCCATTTTTTCTCTGCTTTTTCCATCACCCTGCGCTCAGCCACAGAGGGATTCTGTTGGTGGCACTCAGCTGATTCCAGGCTGGAGCATAAAACACCTTTTATTGATTGTTTTTATTGCTCTCGCCGCGGGGACATAAATAATTCATGAGTTATTGTAATACCAGGTGTGTCAATATTTGCATAAATGAGCTGTAATTAGCGACATCTCCGTGTTAACCCAGGCTGAGCATAAGGAAAAATTCTTTTTTCTGCTAATTACATGTTGGCTGTGATTGTTTACATCTGTTTATAACATCCTCATCATGCCAAAATTAATTTCAACAGCGATTTAACACGATAAAAAATAAGATTTGAGAGTGGAATCAGATTTTTGTTGTGTTACAGGAACCTTTTAAAGCTGTTTTAGAAGGAGACAGCTCCAGGCTTGAGCTGTAAATAATTGATTTAAGTCATACATTAAATGTGTCTTGAAGCATTTGAGGTTTTTTATAATTTGGTAGAAATTATTTTATATTTACACAGAAGTGCTGGATGAGAAACTGCCTTAGGTCCTGATGCTTTACATTTTTTTAATTTTTAAAATTTTTATATTTAACATCCAAATAGCAGCATTTATTATCTTCTTTTTAAAAGTAAATTACTTCTGAAAGTTCCTCTTTTTGATGTAAAATTGCATCATTTTTTAAAGAATCAAAGCTGCAGTGCTTGAGGAAAATCCTTTTCTGTTATTTTCCCAGAAAGAATTGCTATTCCTCACCTGAAAAATTGAATTTTCTAAATAAAAACACCCACACTGTCGCAGGTAGGATTTGTATTTTCCAGGAAACAACAACAGAGACAATCCTTGGCCATAATTTAATTTAAATTGTGGGGTTTCAGTGGTGCTGTTTTAAATTTTCAGGGCTTTAATTAACACTAAACCCACTTGTTTTAAAGTTTTTTCTTTTCTTGGAACAGCAAAATATAAAAATAACAATAAAACACTTCTACAACTTGATGTTACAGCTGGTCATAATTCAAATTATAACATAATTCTTGAAGGAGGATTTTTTTTTTGGTGACTCACAGAGCTGTGTTTAAACGCTTAATTTGATTTTTATTATGAAATTATTAATTTATGGTATTATTAATTTATTAATTTAATTTTTTTTCTCTCCTCAGGTGCTCTGTAACAGAGCAAGATTGGTCACCTACCTCCCAGGCTTTTATTCCTTGCTCAAAAGAGTTGGGAATGCCAAAGCTTTTTCCACTGCAGGATCCTCTGGCTCGGATGAGCCTCACGTGGCTGCTGCACCTCCTGATTTATGTAAGGAAAAAAAGCACATTTAGGGGAAAAAAAAGCAAATTTAAGGAAAAATGCAAATTTGGGGGAAAAAAAAGTAAATTTGAGGGGAAAAAAGCCAATTTAAGGGGAAAAAAAAGCCAATTTAGGGGGGAAAAGCAAATTTCAGGGAAAAACTGCAAATTTGAGGGGAAAAAAAAAGAAAATTTAGGGGGGGAAAAAAAGCAAATTTATTCCCTGTAAATCCCAATTTGGAAATGAGATTTTTGACTTGGTAGAAGAGAAAAATCAAATTCAGGAAGAAAAAGCAAATTCAGGTAAAAAAAAAGAAAATTTAAGGGAAAAACAAATTTATTCCCTGGAAATCCCAATTTGGAAGTGGGATTTTTGACTTGGGAGAAGAGAAAAAGTAAATTTATGAAGAAAAAGAAATTTAGTGGGAAAAAAAAAAGCAAATTTATTCCCTTGAAACTCCAAATTGACTTGGTAGGAAAAAAAGCAAATTTAAGAAGAAAAATCACATTTATTCCCTGGAAATTCCAGTTTGTAAGTGGCATTTGTGACTTGGTAGAAGAAAAAAAAAATCAAATTTAGGAAGAAAAAGAAATTTAGGGAAAAAACAGCAAATTTATTCCCTTGAAATCTCAATTTGGAAACAGGATTTCTGACTTGGTAGAGGAGAAAAAGTAAATTTAAAAATAAAAAAACACATTTATAAAAGTAAAAAGCAAATTATTTCCCTTAAAAGCACAGTTTGGGAGTGGGATTTTTGCAGTGCTGATGTTTGGGATGAAATCCTCATGTGGGAGAGGGGTTTCCTTGGGTTCCCTGCTGCTTTTGGGATTTCCTGACCAGCTTTGGGATTTCCTGACTGGTTTTTGGTGTTTCCTGATTTTTTGGGGGGTTTCCTGACTTTTTTTTTGGGGTTTCCTGATTTTTTGGGAGGATTTCCTGATGTTTTTTGGGATTTCCTGCCCATTTTTCACATTTCCTGTCTGTTTTTGGGGTTTCCTGACTGGTTTTTGGGGTTTCTTGACTGGTTTTTGGGGTTTTCTACCCATTTTTTGTCATCCTCTGCCCGTTTCTGGCATTTCCTGACTGTTTTTTGGGGTTTCCTGACTGTTTTTTGTGTTTCCCTGCTGGTTTTTGGGTTTTCCTGACCGTTTTTGTGATTTTCTGATCCGCTTGGGGATTCCCTGAACCGCTTTGGGATTTCCTGACTGGGTTTTGTATTTCCTTGCTGTTTTTTGGGATTCCCTGACCGCCTTTGGCATTCCCTTCCTCTTTTTAGGATTTCCTGCTTGTTTTTTGGCATTTCCTGCTTGTTTTTTGGGGGATTTCCTGCTTGTTTTTTTTTGGCATTTCCTTTTTGTTTTTTGGCATTTCCTGACCACGTTTGCAATTTCCTGACCGCTTTTGGGATTTCTTGCCTCTTATTGGGATTTCCCTCTTGTTTTTTTGCATTTCCTGACCACCTTTGGCATTTCCTGCTTGGTTTTTTTTGGCTTGTTTTTTGGGGATTTCCTGCTCTTTTTTTTGCATTTCCTGACTGCGTTTGCGATTTCCTGACCACTTTTGGGATTTCTTGCCTCTCTTTGGGATTTCCTGCTTGTTTTTTTGTCATTTCCTGACCGCCTTTGGGATTTCCTGCTTGTTTTTTGGGGGGATTTCCTGCTTGTTTTTTGGCATTTCCTGCTTGGTTTTTTTGGCATTTCCTTCTTGTTTTTTGGCATTTCTTGACCGTGTTTGCGATTTCCTGACTGCGTTTGGGATTTCCTGACCGCTTTTGGGATTTTTTGCCTCTTTTTGGGATTTCCTGCTTGTTTTTCTCCTGCCCTGCCCGTTTTTGTCTCTCCTACCCCGCAGGTCCCAGGACGGTGTGGCCGGACGAGCTGATGGGTCCCTTTGGGCCGCAGGACCAGCGGTTCCAGCTGCCCGGGCACATGGGCTTCGGGTGTCACCTGCAGGGCACCGCGCCCCCCCGGAGCCCCCCGAGCCTGCCCGACCTCCTGGCAGAGCCCTCGGCCGCCGACCGCCACCAGTTCGTCATGGCACAGTGCATCAGCGAGCTCCAGGTGAGGGCACCCCAAAAAATGCATTTTCTACACCAGAAACTGCCCTGAAACTTTTTCAGGCAGAAACACTTCATGCAGTTTTGAAACAGAATTTTAGGAGTGATTTAATGGGAGGATTTCAGGCTTCAAACCTGCTGTTGGTCAAGTCTCACCGCCTTTTACCCAGTAAAAATGAAATTTTCCTTCAGTGTTTTATTTCATGGATTTGGATTTGAAAAGTTGGGGTGATGTTTAGTTCTAAAAACCCCATGGAATTCACCCAGAAGTCCACCAAAATCACTAATAATGACAGATTCATTATTATGAATATACCCAGTAAAATTGAAATTTCAGTATTTTATTTCATGGTTTTGCATGTGCAAAGTTTGGGCAATGTTTAGTTCTAAAAACCCCATGGAATTCACCCAGAAGTCCACCAAACTCACTGAAGTCCACCAAAATCGCTAATCATGACAGATTCGTTATTATGAATATACCCAGTAAAATTGAAATTTCAGTATTTTATTTCATGGTTTTGCATGTGCAAAGTTTGGGCAATGTTTAGTTCTAAAAACCCCATGGAATTCACCCAGAAGTCCACCAAACTCACTGAAGTCCACCAAAATCACTAATAATGACAGATTCGTTATTATGAATATACCCAGTAAAACTGGAATTTCAGTATTTTATTTCATGGTTTTGCATTTGCAAAGTTTGGGCGATGTTTAGTTCTAAAAACCATGAAATGCACCCAGAAGTCCACAAAATTCAAAACGAGAAATTCATCATTATGAATACAGCCAGTAAAATTAGAATTTTCCTTCAGTGTTTTACTGCATGGATTTGAAAATTTGGGCAATGTTTAGTTCTAAAAACCATGGAATTCACCCAAGAATGCCCCAATTTCACAATGAGAGGATTCTAGCAGCCATTCAGATTTATCATTATTAATATAATAAAAATACAATACAATTCTTAATAAAATTAATTGCAATAAGATTTTAAACAAAATTATAATAAATGAAAACAATAAAATATTAATAAAAATTATTAAAAATTACCAATTTATAATGGCAGCATGATCCCAACATTCCCTCAAATCTAATAAATAAAAATTTATGGTTTAATATATATATTTATAATAGCTATATTTCTATACATTTTTATATACTTATATATGTTTTATATACTTATATACTTTTATATGTTTATATATTGTATTCTGTGTTTATAGTTATATTCTATATATATTTATATATTTTATACATACATTCTATCTTATAGTTGATCTATATATTCTATTTTAATATTCCATATATAAATGCTATATTCTATTCTATCTATATATTCAATTTATATTCTGTCTTTATTCTTTTTATATATTCTATATATAAATTCTATATTCTGTTCTCTTTCTATTCTATTCTATCTATATATTCTATTTACATTCTACCTATATTCTGGTTTTATTCTCTAATACTATCTCTGTATTTATATATATTCTGATTTAACATAATACAGTTCCAATAAAATAGAAGATTATAGTATTTCTATAAAATTTAAATATACCTTAGTGGTTTTAAATAACACCAAAATCTATTTTACTTTTCATTTATATTTTCATATCTATCTTGTAATATATTTACATATCTATTTTTAATATATTTTCTTATCTTTTCGTATATATATCTTCTTATATATTTTTAATATCTTGATATAATTGCATATCTATATTTTCATATATTCTCATATTTTAAGTAACTTTTTAATAACTTTCAGTATCTTTAATAATATTATTATTTCAATATTGAATATGAAAAGTGTGAAGTGCCACTGCAAACACCTGAAATTGCTCAGTGAGTCTGATCACTAAAACATATTTTGATATTTTGAGTAATTCCTGATTGATTTGAAGTGAAAAAATGTGGATTTTTGTGCTTTTTAGGGTTCTGATGCTCCCCAGAAGCAGCAGATCAATAATGCTGAGACCTACTTTGAGAATGCCAAGGTGGAGTGTGCAGTGCAAGCCTGTCCTGAGCTGCTGAGAAAAGGTTCATTTTTATTTAAAGTTTTATTTACAGCAACATTTATTTACAACAGGAAATTCAGTTTTCCATGGAAATCCAGTGAAAGGTTAATTCTGAGTTGTTAATTACAAAAATCCATTTGGCCTGAGCTGCTGAGAAAAGATTCATTTTTATTGACATTTTTATTTCCATCAATATTTATTTACATTTTTATTTACACCAGGAAATTCAAATTTCCATGGAAAACCAGTGAAAAGTTAAGTCTGAGTTGTTAATTACAAAAATCCCTTTGGGCACAATGGAAACCAATTGCTGTTGGCAATATTCAATTTCATATTTTTATATCCATTTTTTAATATATTTGCTGCTGACAAAATTAAATAATTTAATTTCAAATGTAATTTCCAGTTGTTGTTTTAGTGCCAGGGAAATTCTGGAGTTAATTCCATGTGGGAGTCCAGGGCTTCTCTCTGGCTGCCCTGGCAGGGGTCAGGAACCCCCCTGGACAGAGCCCCCAGAGACACTGGCTGTGATCTCTGTCCATGGAAAAGAGTTTTCAATCTTACAGGATCAATTACAAGCTTTGAGTGTTTGATAAGAGTAATAACTAAGTGTGGCACAGGTGCAAAAGTAAAATTTTAGGATTCTAGATTAGGGGTTCAGAGGGGACAAGATGGAGGAATTGGGAGTGTCTTGTCCTTTTTCTCCTTCTTCATGCCCTCCATGTTTCACTGTGCTGTTGGCATTTTTCTGTTGGTTCAGGCTGGGGACACACTGTCCAACGTAGGTGACAGATATTGGCACGTTATTGTAAATCCAGCACAGGTAGTTTGTGGTATTTAATGTTTGTAACATCCCACTGAGGGCAGAGCCCCACACGCTGCCCTGCAGGACAGAGCTGCGGCAGGGCAGCAGAACATGTTAGAGATAAACAGAATAAACAACCTTGAAACAGCACAGATTATTTATGATTTCTTCTTTGGCAGCGGGGCTGACAGACAGAGACTTTTACAATCTCAGAATCACCAATACCTCAAATTCCAATATTGCACAGCAGCAGCAGTGTGTTTTTTGCTGTTTTGCAGAGCTGCAGCCGCTGTTCCCCGAGCTGGGCGCGCGCAGCCTGACGGTGCTGACGGTGACGCAGAGGAGCGCGCAGGACATGAGCGCCTGGAGCCCCGAGGTGCAGCAGGAGCGGGAGCAGCTCCTGGACAACGTGAGGGACCAAGGGCTGGGCTGGGGCCTGAGGCGTTCCTGCCTTTGGGGTACACAGCTGTAGGCTGGGATTTATTGAAAAAAGTGATATTATATTGCATACTAATATATATACACACACACATATATGTATAATATTGACGAAGCTTTGCTGCATTTCCAGGATTTCGCTTGCTTTAGGCTGTGATTTATTGAAGAAAAATTATTGATATTACATATAATGCTCTATAATATATAATACATAATATATTTTTATATATATAAGTATATATACAATACTCATGAATATATATATCAATACTCATGTATATATACAATACTCATGAAGCTTTGCTGCATTTCTGGGCATTCACTTTCTTTAAGGTGTGATTTATTGAAAAAAAAATATTATATTGCATACCATATATATATATATAGAGAGAGAGAGAGAGAGATATATATAGATAGATAGATAGATATAAAAATAAATATATATATATAAGATTCATGAAGCTTTGCTGCAGTTCTGGGGTTTCACTTTTTTTACGGTTTGATTTATTAAAAAAAATTATACTGCATACTATATATATATATATATATATATATATATATACACACACACGCTGTATTTCTAGGGGTTCATGTTCTTTAGGGTTGATTTACTAAAAAAAAATTTATATTACCTTGCATGCTATATCATATATTATATGTATATACATATATATATATAAAATATTCACAAATCTTTGCTGTATTTTTGGGATCTTGTTTCTTTAGGGTTTGATTTATTTTAAAAAAATTTATATTGCTTACCATGTATATATATGTATATATATATAATATTCACGAAGCTTTACTGCATTTCTGGGGTTTCACTTGTTTATGGTTTGATTTATTTAAAATAGAATTTATATTACCTTGCATGCTATATCATATATTAGATATATATATATATATCTCAAATATTCATGAATCTTTGCTGCATTTCTAGGGTTTCACTTTTTTTAGGGTTTGATTTCTTTTTTAAAATGTTTATATTGCATTCCATATATATTATATAGATCTATATTATCATTTAATTAAGATTCCACTGCACTTTTTACTGGCCAAAAACATAAAAAATCACCAATTTCTCTGGGGTTTTTTTCCACTTTAATGAATGTTTTAAAATCTTTTTACCCTGGATTTCAGTTGTGTTTTTTATCTTAACTTTGTCTTGTTCTTTTACCTCTAGAGGGCTCTAAAATACCCTTTATTTCCCATTTCCCACAATTTTACCATTTTCCCACTGAGTGTCGCTGTTCACTGCCCCCAGCACCTCAAAAAAGAACATTTCTCCCTCAAGTTTGTAAAATACCCCCAAACCCAGCATTTCAGCTGGAAATAAATCACATTTCTGCCTGAAATTAATCTGGAATGCCCTAAAACACAAATGTGGGCTGTCCAAATCCACCACAAAAAAAAAAAAGGAAACAGCACAAAATGACAGAGAAATTAAAATTCCTTCATTTCAGCCTCTGCTTTTCTTTGAATTATTTCTGGCCTGTTGCTCTTTGGTGTTTTAATCTGGTTTAAAATCAAAATATTTGTGTGAACCCAGCTCAAGTGTTTATTCACCTCACTCTGAGGGACCAGAAGAGATCCTGGATCAGAAATGTTGTGCCTAAAATTGGGATATTTGGGATTTAATTTCTAGTTTGGGCATAATTAATCATCAGAGCCAGCAAACTTCAAAATGCAGAATTTTACTGGGGTAAATTTTCCTTATTTTGAACTAATACAGAATTTATTGTAAAGAGTAAATTTTCCTTATTTTGATCCAATACATAATTTACTGTAAAGAGTAAAATTGCCTCGTTTTGAACTAATACAGAATTTATTGTAAAGGATAAATTTCCTTTATTTTGAACTAACTTGCAGAATTTACTGTAAAGAGTAAATTTTCCTTATTTTGAATTAACACAGAATTTACTCTAAAGGGTAAAAATCCCTCATTTTGTATTGCAAGGGATAAATTTTTCTTATTTTGAACTAATACAGCATTTGTTGTAAGGGGTAAATTTCCCTTTTTTTGAACCTTTAAGAGACTGAAGCTGAATAAATCATATTTTTATAAATTTGGAACCTCGAGCTTCTTGGTGCACTAATTGCAGAGAAAAATCCAATTTTTACAACTGTAAGTAAACAAAGGATTTTATTTATAACAGGTAAAGTAAGAAGTAATTAATTTTGTGTGATAACCTCATGTGATACTTTTCTTTTCCCAAATTTTTCCCTTCCAGTTCATCAATGGTGCCAAGGAAATCTGCTATGCAATTGCTGCTGAGGGCTACTGGGCTGATTTCATTGATCCCACCTCAGGACTGGCAGTAAGTTTGTTCTTGCTCTGTGGAATTTGGCTTAAATCCAGCTTTTTCAGGGTAATTCCTTGAATTAATTAAGATTTATGAGCTCAGCTGTGGCGGCTCTGAGTGCAGGACCAGCATTGGCAGGAAATGAAATTGGCTTTTAGGGAACTGGAGAAGTTTTATTCCTCAAATCCCTTGGGTATTTCTGCCCTGCCCAGGTAACTTGGGAACCCTGACACCTGTGCAGGTGAAGGCTTTAAAAACATCTTTGCACCTGTTAATGATCCTTTTGTCCCCAAAAAAATGAACTTTTTGTTGCTGTTGAACAGTGGGAGCTTTCAGTGGGAGATGGATTTTAGTCTGAGCTCTGCTAAAGCCGTAGCACAGTTCAAGGGGACAGTGGCAAAGCTGGGCTTAGTGGGGTTTGATTTAAAAACACCACAAAAAGCAGGGATTTATTGTGCCAACAGAGGCAAACAGGGCGTGGCTGGAAGGCAGAACACGCACTTCAGGGCTGGAGAAGCTTCCCAGAATTCCAGACATTGAAGGAATTAGGGATTGATGGAAGTGGGGTTTTGTCTTCAGACTCCAGCAGTAACATCCTGGCCCAGAATCAGGAGTGGGGTTTAAGTCAGAATCTTCCTCTTGAGATAAAGAACTGAAATATCTGTGTGCAACTTAAATCCCAGTTTAATATGAATACTTAAATCCCAGTTAAATATAAATACTTAAATCCCAGTTTAATTTAAATCCCAGTTTAATTTGAATACTTAAATACCAGTTTCATTTAAATACCAGTTTCATTTGAATATCTGTTTGCAATTTAATCACATTGTTGCTCCTCTAACTTTTGGGGTTTTTTGCAAAGTTAAATTGTTAACTTTTGCAATTTCCTAGGAAGTTTCTCTCCTTAGTCCATGCCCTGTTTGTGCTGTTCCTAGCAGGTTTCTGCCTTAATTCCTGCAGAGGCAGCAAAAAAATCAACCCAATCCCACCTGCACTTTTCCAAAGGTGCGGGTGGGATTGAGATTTGAAAGGAAAACCTTTCCAACTCAACACAAAACTTCTCCACACAGCCAAACTCAGTCTTATCTTTCAACCATCCATCAGAATTTCAAATCCTCACGTGGAAAATTGTTTTGTGTCTCTCTTTTCCTTCAGTTTTTCGGGCCTTACACCAACGACTCGCTGCTGGAGACCGACGAGCGCTACCGGCACTTGGGCTTTGCCGTGGATGACCTGGGCTGCTGCAAGGTGATCAGGCACAACCTTTGGGGTACCCACGTGGTGGTGGGCAGCATCTTCACCAACGCTGAGCCCCACAGCCCCATCATGAGGAAGCTCAGTGGCCACTGAGCCCTCCAGCTCCTTTTGGCCTCTTGGGATTCGTGGAGTCCTTGGGCGATTCTCCATCGGCATCGCTGGGAGTTCCTCTCTTCCCAAGGTTCTTGGAGAATAAAAGTAGCTGTTATTTATTCCTGGTCTTTTGGGGAATGTATGTTCACCACTTGTGGGTTTGGTATATGGATTGGCAGCGTTGAGAAACAAAGGAATTATCATTTCCTTTTTAAATTTTCCATTTTATCTTGCCTCAACCGTTCTTTCGCTGGTCGGTTTAGTGTTCAGAATCCTCTGAAAATGCCACTGAAATTCCCAACAAATTGCCATTCCTGAAATTAGCAACTGGCCAAAAAAACGGAATGAGTCATAAAATTGTTCTCCCAGAATACAGAACTTAATAAAATCTGAGCTAATCACTCATTTGCTGTTGGAAAATGAGAATGAGGTCAACTTTCAGTGGTCTCCAACTCAAAATCCTTAATTATCCTGGAATTACTCATCTCTTACTGTTTTTTTTGTCTTCATGGTGCTTGGGATTTATTTTCTCAGTGTTAGCCAAATATATTTAATTAGCTTATATACCTAAATGTAATTTAAAGTTGCTTTTGTAACTTTCTTAGGTCATTAAATACAAAAAAAAAAAGAGAGAGATAATAGGGCAATGCTTGGATCTCATCATTGTTTTCCTGGACTTGGATGCAATCTAGACTTGCCTCTGGAATTTGGAAATGCAAGGAGTAATTAGGATCAATTATTGCAATTAGAAAGATGTTTCTGCAAGAAGGTTCCAGGCTGGTCAGGTCTCACAAAAACAATCAGATCCATGGGGGAACAACAGGGCAGGAATTCCAGGACACCTGCAACACCTGGAATTTCAGTGCCTTGCACTCTGGCTCTGGGGCAGAAGCAATAAAAAAAAATAAAAATAAAAATAAAAAAAGCAATAAAGCAGATTTGGATCTCCTCCCAGGTAGTGTGGAGCCATTTTCCATCCTTCAGCTTTGCTCCCTCTGCCTGAGGATCCTGGGATTTTCACTGAATTTTTGGGCTTTTTTTACTCCAAAGATTTTATTCCTGTTTTTTTCTTTTCTCCTTCTCATCAAGAGGATTAAAGAAGTTGAAAATGCAGTGTGCTGTGTCTGTTTGCAAAATCCACACAGGAGAGCTCTCACTGGACACTTTGGGGAATTTTCTTGGATAAACATTGGAAAAATTGTGGAATTCTTCACATATATTGTAAATATCTTACAAAGATTAGATGTTTTATCTTCAGCTTTTATCCAGTTAAGACTGGGATGTTCATTTTTGACTTCAGGTTCTTTAAGTTTTGTCCTGTAAAGAGTTTTCCCAGTGGCTTTTCCTGAGGCAGAAATCTCACTGGAATATTGGGAATTTTGCCTTGACCTCATGAATATTAATATTTTATGTCAGGGTTTGAGGGGAGCTCTAGTTCCTGATATTTTTCTAAATAGAATTTTCTCATTAATCCCCAAAAAGAGCTGGAGCTGTTCCAGTTGTGTTTTTCTCCCATCACAAGAGTGAGACTGAACTTTCTGCTATAAAATCAAACTTCTGGAATACAAAATAAACCACTTAAAAGTTGTGGGGAGAAATAATGCTGAGCAATGTTCAATTAATTCCTTCCCTTGCTCTTGAGCTGGCCTTGCATGTTGAGGATTTATAGATCTAAAAATATCTATAATATATAAAACTATAAAAAATATATATGTAAATATAAAATATCTCTTATATATTTATATATAAAATATATATAAATATAAAAAGTACATAAAGTATATAGAATATAATATTAAAAAATATGGAATATTCTCATATATCTATATAAAAATATTTAAAATATATTTAAAATATTTCTGAAATCCTGTACTTTAGAAATGAAATTACTTTTGAAACTACACCATTTAAAAGTTGTGGGGGGAAATAAACCTGACTGAGCAATGTTCAATTCATTCCTTCCCTTCTCTTGAGCTGGCTTTGGCTGTTGAGTATTTATATATATTAAAATATATACAATATAAAAAAATATATAACGTATCCTTTATATGTTAATATTAAAAAATCTAATATATTTTATAAGTATATAATAATATTTTATATATAAGTATATAATATATATGTAAATACACAAATATATATTATCATATTATATATTATACATATTATAAAATATAAAAATATATATAAAAATCCAAGATAGATATAAAAATCGATATAAAATATATAAAACACATTTCTGAACTCCTGTACTTTAAAAACGAGGTCACTTTTAAAGCCACCCTGGAACCACTTAGAACCTGGGGGGGAATAAAGCTGACTGAACAATGTTCAATTAATTCCTTAACAGTTAATTAATTGAGCTGGGCTTGGCTGTTGAGGGGGAAGAATTGGGAATTATTTGTGGGGTTATTTGTGGGATTATTTCTGGGATTTTGGCTGCCCCTGCATCCCTGGAAGTGTCCAAGGCCAGGCTGGATGCGCTGGGAGCAGCCTGGGATCCAAATCCCTGCAAGTTTATTTCCAGTAATTTCACTTGAAATGAACTTGAAATAAACTTTATTCCAGGTTTATTTCACTTGATTACTTTGCTTCAGTGTTGATGAATTTAATTGCAATTAAAATGAGGAATTACTTCCCTCAGCCATCCAGGGCTTCACCTGAGCACTGATTTTTTTCCCCCTGGAATGAGCCCAGCTTTATTTTTATTCCAATTTTCAGGGCACTTTTCCAGCTGTGTGGAAAACCAGCTCTAAATCCCATGGAATAAAGCCACGGCTGCTTGTGTTTAATGCAGAAAAAACCTCAATTTCACAACCACTTGGAGTTTTTGTGCCCTTCCCAGTGGGACTTTTCCCAAAATCCCAGATTTTTCCAGGAGCTGCGTGTCCCTGTGCCCAGCCAGCAATCCCAGCTCGTGGCAGCTGCAAGGATCCAACTCTCCTGCCTTTTCCAGGGCAGAATTCCCTTTGTTTCCAGGGAAAAAAAAAACCAGTTTAAGCTGGGTTTAGCAATGCAAAGCTGGACTTTGAGCCGAATATTTGGGGTCAGACTTTTTCACCTGATCACACAAAACGAGTCTGAGTTGTGTGATCCCGGTCACACCCTAAAAACAAACTTAAAACTTCCTAAACCAGCCGATTTTAGCAGCAAAGCTGAGCCCAAATTTCGTCTCTGCTTAAAGAGAAACCCCCCTGCTGGGGGAAACTCCCAAATTTTCCAGGTTTTGGGGGAACCCCTGGAAGTTCCCCCCAAGGCTGCCCAGTTAGGCCCAGCCCAGAGCTGCTGCTCCCAGCTAATCCTGGCTTTTTCCAGGGAATCCGCTGGAATTTTGGTGCCTCACTTGTGTCTGGGGGTGTTTTTTAGCTCTGAGTCTGTGAAAATGTCTGGAATTCTGCAGGATTGGAATTGTCCAGGATTGGAATTCTCCAGGACTGGAATTCTCGGTGATTGGAATTCTCCAGGATGGAAATTCTGCAGGATTGGAATTTTCAGTGATTTGGATTCTCAGTGATTGGAATTCTCAGGATTGGAATTTTCAGTGATTTGGATTCTCAGTGATTGGAATTCTCAGGATTGGAATTCTGCAGGATTGGAATTCTCTGGGATTGGAATTCTCCAGAATTGGAATTCTCCGGGATTGGAATTCTCTGTATTTGAATTCTTCAGGATTGAAATTCTGCAGGATTGGAATTCACCAGGACTGGAATTCTCCAGGATTGGAATTCTGCAGGATTGGAATTCTCAGTGATTGGAATTCTCAGTGATTGGAATTCTCAGTATTGGAATTCTCCAGGATTGGAATTCTCAGGATTGGAATTCTCCAGGATGGAAATTCTGCAGGACTGGAGTTCTCAGTGATTTGGATTCTCAGTGATTGGAGTTCTTCGGGATTTGAATTTTAGTGATTGGAATTCTCAGTGATTGGAATTCTCAGTGACTGGAATTCTGCAGGATTGGAATTCTCCCGGACTGGAATTCTCAGTGATTGGAATTCTCAGTATTTGAATTCTCCACGATTGAAATTCTGCAGGATTGGATTTTGCCAGGACTGGAATTCTCAGTGTTTGGAATTCTCAGTGATTGGAATTCTCCAGGACTGGAATTCTGCAGGACTGGAATTCTCCAGGACTGGAATTCTCAGTGACTGGAATTCTCCAGGATTGGAATTCTCAGTGATTGGAATTCTCAGTGATTGGAATTCTGCAGGATTGGAATTCTCCAGGATTGGAATTCTCCAGGATTGGAATTCTCAGTGATTGAAATTCTCCAGGACTGGAATTCTCGGTGATTGGAATTCTGCAGGATTTGAGTTCTCACTACTGGAATTCTCCAGAATTGAAATTCTGCAGGATTGGATTTCTCCAGGACTGGAATTTTCAGTGATTGGAATTCTGCAGGATTGGAATTCCCAGGGCTGGAATTCCCAGTGATTAGAATTCCCAGTGATTTGAATTCTGCAGGATTGGAATTCCCAGGGCTGGAATTCTCAGCAGGGAAGAGCCCAGCAGGTTTGGAGGGACAATCTGGGTTTGTGCTGAGCACAGGGACCCCCAGGGGGACATTGCTGAAAAAAATCCCCTTTATAGACATAAATATATATTTAAAAAAATATATATTTCTATTATTTTATTATATTTATATATAAATATAGATAAATAAATACTTTTCACAATATCCCACGTGGATTCTGTGAGCTGGGGAGCTCTCCAGGACTCTGCATTTCCCTGTAATTCCCCCCAAAAAACCCATTTTGAGCCTTAAAAAATACCAGAATTTGATAGAGCAGGAATAGGAAAAAAGGGATTTCCCACAGGTTTTGCCTCAAAAAACCTGGAGTTGAACCACCTTGAAGTCAGAAAAAGAATGAATTAATTCCAGTAGAATTAATTAATTACAGAAGAATGAATTAATTACAGAAGAATTAATTAATTCCAGTAGAATGAGATGCTGCAGCGCAGTTTTTTAGGATTGCTTTGGTGACCTGCAGAAATTCCATTTCTCCCTCCTTTTGTTTTGCTCCCTGTGCTTGAAAATCCAGAAAATTCCAGGAAAATTGGGATTTTCACCCTGGTGAGGTGAGGAGAGGTGCAGGAGTGAGGGATGTTTGTGGAAAAGGAAATCAGGGACTTTGCTGACATTTGGGAGTGAGAAAAATCATAAAAATTCAGAATTTAAGGACAAAAACTTGGACAAAAAGTGAATAATTCTTCCAGGCAGGAATGTGAGCAGGAATCCAAGGAAATTTAGGGATTTAACTCCATCCTTTTATTTATGGAGCACCACCTGGCTGCTCCCTGTCCCCTTTTCTTTATGCCCAAAAAACCCCAAAAACTGACCTGTATTTTGGGAATTTTATTTCAATTCCCCTGTAAATAATGAATTATTCCCATGTTTTCCTCCTGCTGAACTTCAGGTATAAATTGTATAAATAATTTAGTATAAATTGGTTTATGCTGGGCACAAATCTGAGGAATTCCTGTTTCTTTTGGGATCCCTGAATTCTGTTTTCCCTCTCTGCCCTGGGGAAAATTCCGTATTTTCCATCATTTTATCGCATTTAACCTGGCCTGGGTTTTTTTTTTTTTTTTCCTGGTGTTCCCTCTTAATTCCACAGCTGGAATTTCATCAGACACTTCACAGTTAATATTTAACCCTTTTATTTATACAAATATACAAGAATTTACACCTGTTAAAAACAATTAAACATTTCAAAGCAAAAAAAAATAAAAAATAAATAACGGTGCAGCTCAGCATTTGTGGGGTTTGGAGCCCAAGGAACCCCAAACTGGTGCAGGGGGGGGTTCAGACACCTTAATTTCCTTTTTTAAAATCATCCAGGGAGATGCCAGAGGAGGGACAGGCTTGGATTTTTTTGGGAATCTCCAGAGCCAGGTGGAATTTGCATAGAAAATGAGATTAAAACTCTCAAAACCAGAGATGGGTGAAAGGACAGCAAAATTCCAGGTTTGGCTGGGGGTGAGACCAAAAAAAAAGTTGATTTTATATTAAAAATCACTCAAAACAAACAGTGGTGAAGGTCAATTTTTATAAAGATGTATATCTATAATTTTATATATATATATATAATTTTTGGAATAACATCTGTGAGTGGGGAGCTCTCCAGGACTCTGCATTTCCCTGTAATTCCCAAAAAAAAAAGCATTTTGAGCTTTAAAAATACCAGACTTTGATAGAGCTCAGGTTACCTTGGAGCAGAAATAGGAAAAAAATCACTCCTTAAAGAATAATTAATGATTTAAAAAAAAAATATTTAATTATAAACCAGTTTAAAGCAAGTCCATGACACCCTGCTTTTATTACTGACTTTGCAAGACAAAGTTCTTTTTAAAAAGTGATGTAAATCAATTTTAAAAATAGATAGATTTCAATTTCTATATATTTTTGATCTTTTCTATATTACAGGCTCGCTGACTTCCAAACCATCCCTTTTTCCTGGCAAAATCAGCGGTTTTTGGAATCTTTTCCAGTTCTTCCAAACCCTCCTGGACACCCAAAAATAAATTTGCAAACGTGAATTCCCAGGAAAACGGATCAACCAACACGGCTGCAGCCCAAATCCATGGAATAAAAATCCCAGGGGATGGTCAGGATCCAATTCCTCTTTTTCAGACTGTGGAATTTGGGGCAAAAAATGGGAAAATATTTAAAATATTCCCCCTGAACCGGCAGGAATTGGGGGAGCAGCAGCTCCTCATCCTCCTGCTGAGGGGTGTGCACCCCAAATCCCGCTGGAAATCAGGAATTCTGGGGATTTCTCTGCTGGATTTGGGAATTCCAAAAAATAAAAATAAGTATTCTACCACCCCGAAGCTTTTCTTCTGCTGGAAATGAGGATTTTTTTAGGGATTTCTCTGGTTAAATTTAGGAATTCCAGCAATTTTATGCCAGAAATGAGGATTTTTTTAGGGATTTCTCTGGTTGAATTTAGGAATTCCAGCTGTTTTCTGCCGGAAATGAGGATTTTTAGGGATTTCTCTGGTTGAATTTAGGAATTCCAGCTGTTTTGTGCAGGAAATGAGGATTTTTAGGGATTCCTCTGGTTGAATTTAGGAATTCCAGCCGTTTTCCGCCTGTCCCGGGTGCCGGATCTCCTTTCCAGCGCGGAGGAGCCGGAGCTGCGTTAATTACCGCGTGTTAATGAGGCGGGGGTTAATGAGCTGGGATGGATGGCGGTTCCCGAGGGGAATGCGGTGCCGGAACGCTCCAAGTGCCGCTTCTTCACGGATTTAAGGCGGATTTTACCCGGGCCAGGCCGGGCTCGGCGGCTCTTCCAGCTTTTCCAGCCGGGATGGGCGCAGGGCTCCGGGAACCCGCGGGAATTCGGGACTCGGGGCTGGCTCCGCCGGGCCAGCGCGGCCGTGGCGCTGTCACTGTCACTGTCACTGTCACTGTCACCATCCCTGTCACTGTCCCATCACTGTCGCCGTCTCTGTCACTGCCCCGTCTCTGTCCTCTCGCGACCCATGTCATTATCCCGTCTCTGTCCTTGTCCCTGTCGCTGTCACTATCCCGTCTCTATCCCTGTCAATGTCCCGTCTCTGTCCCTGTCCCGTCCGTGTCGCTGTCACTGTCCCGTCTCTGTCGCTGTCCCTGCCCCGTCGCCGTCTCTGTCCCTGGCCCTGTCCCTGTCTTTGTTGCTGTCCCTGTCACTGTCCAGTCGCTGTCGTTGTCACTGTCCCATCTCTGTCACTGTCCCGTCACTGTCACTGTCCCGTCACTGTCACTGTCCCGTCCCTGTCCCATCTCTATCCCTGTCCCATCTCCATCCCTGTCCCATCTCCATCCCTGTCCCATCTCTATCCCTGTCCCGTCTCTGTCCCTGTCCTGTCCCTGTCACTGTCCCGTCTCTATCCCTGTCCCATCTCTATCCCTGTCCCATCACTGTCCCTGTCCCATCCCTATCCCTGTCCTGTCCCTGTCACTGTCCCTGTCACTGTCCCGCCGCGGTGGCCCTGGCGAGCCAGCGCGGTGCCAGCAGCGCCATCCCGATGCCGATGCCGATCCCGGTACCGGTGCCGGTGCCGATCCCGATCCCGGCCGGGCCCGGGGCGGCTCCGAGCGGGGCCAGCGTGGCGAACACGGCGTCCGAGGCGTTCCGCGGCAGCGGCAGGTTACAGATGCTGCCCTCGCAGCACGACGTGCACACCTGCACCGGGAAACCGGAGAGCGGGAATCAGGAACTGCGGAGTGAGGAATTCCGGGGGGAACAAACGGGGAATGCGGGATTCCAGGGAAAACAGGGAATGAGGAATTCCAAGGGAAAAAAAAAAAAAAAGTGAATGCAGAATTCCAGGGAGAAAGGCACAGGGAAAACAGGGAATGCCAGAGTTCCAGGGGAAACAGGGAATGTGGAATTCCAGGGAAAAAAAAAATAGCGAATGCGGAATTCCAAGGGAAAACAGGGAATGCGGAATTCCAAGGGAAAAAAAAAAACAGTGAATGCGGAATTCCAGGGGGAACAAACAGGGAATGCAGAATTCCAGGGGAAAAAAAAACAAACAAAAAAGTGAATGCGGAATTCCAGGGAGAAAGGCACAGGGAAAACAGGGAATGCCAGTGTTCCAGGGGGAAAAGGGAATGTGGAATTCCAGGGGGAAAATAGCAGTGAATGTGGAATTCCAGAGAAAATCAGGGAATGGGGAATTCCAGGGGGAAAAAACAGGGAATGCAGAATTCCAGGGGAAACAGGGAGTGCAGAATTCCGGGGGAACAAACAGGGAATGCGGAATTCCAGGGGAAAAAACAGGGAATGCGGAATTCCAGGGGAACAGGGAATGCGGAATTCCAGGGGGAACAAACAGGGAATGCGGAATTCTAGGGGGAACAAACAGGCAATGCAGAATTCCAGGGGCAAAAAAACAGCAAATGCGGAATTCCAGGGGAAACAGGGAATCTGGAATTCCAAGGGAAAAAAACAGGGAATGCAGAATTCCAGGGGGAAAAAACAGGGAATGTGGAATTCCAGGGAAAAAAGGGAATGCGGAACTCCAGGGGGAAAAAACCCAAAAAAGTGAATGCGGAATTCCAGGGAGAAAGGCACAGGGAAAACAGGGAATGCCAGAGTTCCAGGTGAAAAAACAGGGAATGCAGAATTCCAGGGGAAAAAAACCAGGGAATGTGGAATCCCAGAGGAAACAGGGAATGTGGAATTCCAGGGAAAAACAGGGAATGTGGAATTCCAAGGGAAAAAAACAGGGAATGCAGAATTCCAGGGGAAAAAAAAAAAAAAAAAAAGTGAATGCAGAATTCCAGGGAGAAAGGCACAGGGAAAACAGGGAATGCCAGAATTCCAGGGGGAAAAGGGAATGTGGATTTCCAGGGGCAAAAAAGCAGTAAATGCGGAATTACAGGGGGAAAAAGACAGTGAATGCGGAATTCCAGAGAGAAAGGCACAGGGAAAACAGGGAATGCAGAATTCCAGGGAAAACACAACAGTGAATGTGGAATTCCAGAGAGAAAGGCACAGGGAAATTAGGGAATGCCAGAGTTCCAGGGGAAACAGGGAATACGTAATTCCAGGGGAAAAAACCCAGGGAATGCGGAATTTCAGGAAAAAAGGGAATGAGGAATTCCAGGGGAAAACAGGGAATGTGGAATTCCAGAGAAAATCAGGGAATGGGGAATTCCAGGGGGAAAAAAACAGTGAATGCCGAATTCCAGGGGAAAAAACAGGGAATGCAGAATTCCAGGGGAAACAGGGAATGTGGAATTCCAGGGAGAAAGGCACAGGGGAAACAGGGAATGCGGGAATTCCAGAGAAAAATAGGGATTGTGGAATTCCAGAGGAAAACATATACTATACTATACTATACTATATTATACTGTATTACACTGTACTATATTATACTATATTATACTATATTACATTATATTATATTACATATATGATATAATGTATTTTTTAATTTTTCTCTATTCCTGCAGATCTGCTATGTACAAAACAAACCCAAAACACGGAATTTTTTCCCCACCTTGTACTCCTCGTGCCTGATGTAGGTGCAGCCCGTGCTCAGACACTCCTCCAGGGCCACGCAGCGCTTGGTGACCGACACGCTCTCCCCGCTGGCCCTCATCATGTGCTGGCTGAAGCAGTACCTCGTCCCTAAAAACATGGAAAAATCCTTATCTGCCCAATTCCCATTCCCTGAGAGTCATCCAGCAGGAGAAATAGGAAAGAAATGCAGGATTTTGTCAAATCACAAGAGTTTTTAAAAATAAGACATTTTTGTTGTATTTATTGTAGCTGATGTGCTGTCCCTAAAAAACACAGGAAATCTTTATCTGCCCAATTCCCATTCCCTGAGAGTTCATTCAGCAATAAAAACAGGGAAGAAATCCCAGATTTTTACTTAATCACAAGAGTTTTAAAAAATAAGACATTTTTGATGTATTTACTGTATATCGTGTGCTGGCTGAAGCAGTACCTTGTCCCTAAAAAACATTTTTATCTGCCCAATTCCCTTTCCTTGAGAGTCCTCCAGCAGGAAAAATAGGAAAGAAATGCAGGATTTTGTCAAATCACAGGAGTTTTAAAAAATAAGACATTTTTGATGTGTTTATTGTAACTCATGTGCTGGCTGAAGCAGTATCTCGTCCCTAAAAAACACAGGAAATCTTTATCTGCCCAATTCCCATTCCCAGAGAGTTCATTCAGCAATAAAAACGGGGAAGAAATCCCAGATTTTTATCAAATCACAAGAGTTTTAAAAAATAAGACATTTTTTATTTATTTACTCTAGCACATGTGCTGGCTGAAGCAGTACCTCATCCCTAAAAAACATGGGAAATCTTTATCTGCCCAATTCCCATTCCCAGAGAGTTCATTCAGCAATAAAAACAGGGAAGAAATCCCAGATTTTTATCAAATCACAAGAGTTTTAAAAAATCGCATGGAATGGGATCAGCTTTAAGATTCCTTCCCACCCAAACTGCAAAATTTTAGGAAAGAACTTTAATGCCCATGGAATGGGATCAGCTTTAAGGTCCCTTCCCACCCAAACTGCAAAATTTTAGGAAAGAACTTTAATGCCCATGGAATGGGATCAGCTTTAAGGTCTCTTACCACCCAAGCCAGGAATTTTAGGAAAGCAACACCAGTCTGATTGAATCCCCAGCTGAGCCAGGGGAAAACATGGAATAACTCCAAGTCCTCAACCTCAACTGCTGCAAGGAGACAAGAAAAGCTTAAAGGATTCACTGCAGAATCCCATATTCCGTATTTCTGGGAATAACGGGGCTCCTGGCAGGATGGGTGGGGTGGGATGGAGCCCTGGGATGGGGCTGGTTACCTCTGGGGCAGTAAACATCCGGAGCCCAGCGGTTACACTCGTAATTATCCGAGGCCTTTTCGCAGGTGAAACACTTAAATCCACGAGGATACGGCGTGGCTGAAAGGAATGGACAATATGGAGTTAAAAGGAATGGATAATGGAGTTGAAATCATCCTGTTAATCTGGTTCTATGCTGCTTTTTGGGAGCAAACAGCAACGTTTTTTCTCTTTAGATCCAAATTTCTCCAGATTTTGCTGTCAGTGCCAGCGGGTTGGTCCTGGTTTGTAAATCCCCGTCCCCCACGGCACGTTTAGGTCGCTGTGGACTCGTTCCAGCTGTGTTTGCCCAGTGCTGACTTCAAAGGGAGCTAATGGGAGCTGGGAATGCTCATTGGAATCAGAGCTCACATCCAGCACTTTATCAGTGCTGATAACACAATATCAGGTGGATTGAAACCCTCTGGGAGTTGTCCTGCTGAGGGAAAGAGCTGCTCCAGTTCAAGGCAGGCTCACGGCCCCAGAGGGAACAAAACCACTTTGCTGAACCTCCAGCTCTGACCAGCAGCCTCTGTCCTAATTTATCTCTCCAAACGAGGCCTAATTCCTTAATTGCTCTCCTGGCAGCACTTCTGGGGCACTTCCAATCCCACCTCAAGGTGCTGCCACCTTCTCAAAAGCCAAATGGTGAACAGGTCACCTTTAGCTGTACTTTGAACCTGTACAGCCCCAAGGGCCACATCTTCACCCTCCTCCTCCTCCTCACCTCCTCCCCTGGCTCTGGATCCTGTTTGGGAATGAGAGGTGAAGCAAGAGGATTTCATTGCTTGTTTCCTTTCAGCTTTTAAGGAACAAGAAATCACCCAGGAGCAACTCTGGTGGGGCTGGGACAACACAATAATTAAATTAATCCCTCTGACCGTTGTATCACAGTTGTGATATAAAACAGGAATTTCATCCTGCTTGCACAGAATATAAATTTTTCAGCACATGAAGCAGCGAGTTTTCTGTGGGAACAGAAGGCAGGGAGAGCTCCACGGGCACCCTGTTCTCATGGAATCTGATAAGTCTGTGTCAGATAAAGCGAACAGCCTGGTGGGGGTCCAGGGGAGATCTAAAGATGCACAACTCTGTTGCTCCAGGAGTTACTGGAGTCAAGGCTGTCAGTGCCTCAGCAGCTGCCCATAGCCCCATGTGTCCTTTAAACCCTTTTGGTCCAGTTTTACACAGAATCATGGAATGGGTTGGGTTGGGAGGGACCTTAAAGCCCGTGTTGTCCCACCCTCTGCCATGGGCAGGACACCTCCCACAAAAACTTGTGTTTTCTTCCACCCTATGAGAGTGGGGACAGTACAAACCAGATCCCTCCCATCCCAAACCATTCCACAATTCCATGTAAAACCAGGTTAAAGGCAGAGCCAAAAGCAAAGAAACACAGCCACGGTTCAAGAAGAAGTGGGGAAAATGAAGGAAGGTTGTGACGAGATGAAATGTGGTACAGAGAAACACAGCAGCCCAGTGCCTTGCTGGAAAATACTCCAGTGGCCCCTGAGGACCATGGAAATGATGACTGGAAGTGGCTTTTGGGTTGGGCTCCTGTGGGAATTTGAGTGCAAATCCAGAAGCTCAAGGCTCAGGAGACAACTGATATTTCCCTCATCCTTGTCCGTGTCCCAGGGTGTGACACCTTGAGAAGCTGCCCTAGAGCAGGGGCTGGACAGAGCCACAGAATAAAGCAGGGATTTACTCAAAGGATTTATTAAATTTATCTCCTCCATGGATCCACCTTGGGCAGCACCAGAGCCCAGCCAGGGCTGCACCCAAATGACCCAAAATGATCCCAAAAAATGGATGATTGGTCACAAAATGATCAGTTCTGCTCCATTGGCACCTTGAAGTTCATTTTCCCATTCCAGCTTTAGCCCAGGCAGTCCCACCCTGCTTGTTTTTCTCTCTCCAGCCCACGGTGTTTGTGCTCCTGGGCTGAGATTTGGATCATTTGTCCTTGGTGCCCAGCTGGAGCAGGAATTGTTTTGTCTCCCTGCTCACCAACACTGAATGTGAAGCTCAGAGCTGCACACTGAAGCAAAGAGTCTGAAAAATAGAGAAACTAAGATTTAGGGCATGGGGAGGCGGAGGTGACTTACTGGAGGGGTGGAGGTAGACGATGTCCTTGGCGGTGAAGTCGCGGCTCCGCGCGGCCGGAGCGCGGCCGGGCAGCAGCAGCAGCAGCAGCAGCAGCCCCGGTGGCCAGGCCATGGCCCGGCCAGGACCTGCTCATGCGGCGGCCGAGAATCCCCACCTGGGCAGAGTCACAGAACAACAGAATTATCCAGGCTGGAAAACACCTCTGAGATCATTGAGTCTGACCCCTGACCGACACTCCCTTGTCACCTTGAAGGCCACATCCAGGTTTTCCTGACAAACCTCCAGGGATTGGGACTCCACCACTGTGGGAATCCAGGGCTTCCTTCTGGCTGCCCTGGCAGGTCTGGGACCCTGGCAGGGGTCAGGAACCCCCCTGGACAGAGCCCCCAGAGACACTGTCTGTGATCTCTGTCCATGGAGAGGAGTTTTCAATCTTACAGGATGAATTACAAGCTCTGAGTGTTTGATAAGAGTAATAATTAAGTGTGGCACGGGTGCAAAAGTAAAATTTTAGGATTCTAGATTAGGGGTCCAAAGGGGACAAGATGGAGGAATTGGGAGTGCCTTGTCCTTTTTCTCCTTCTTCATGCCCTCCATGTTTCACTGTGGTGTTGGCATTTTTCTGTTGGTTCAGGCTGGGGCCACACTGTCCAACGTAGGTGACAGATATTGGCACGTTATTGTAAATCCAGCACAGGTAGTTTGTGGTATTTAATGTTTGTACCATCCCACTGAGGGCAGAGCCCCACACGCTGCCCTGCAGGACAGAGCTGCGGCAGGGCAGCAGAACATGTTAGAGATAAACAGAATAAACAACCTTGAAAACAGCACAGATTATTTATGATTTCTGCTTTGGCAATGGGGCTGACAGACAGAGACTTTCTACAATCTCGGAATCACCAATACCTCAAATTCCAACACACCACCTCCCTGGGCAGCCATTCCCATGGTCAATCCCTCTTTCCCGGCAGAGAGTGGGGATGAGCAGAGCAAACCCACAAGGACCTGGCCACCACCTCGTCCCCATGACCCAACCCCAGAACTTCCCACTCCTGTGGTTATTTTGGCATCAACAAATGCCAAAATCGTAATTATCTGAGGCTTTTCACACTTAAATCCATGAGGATACGGCATGGCTGAAAGGAGTGGAAAATATGGAGTTGAAAGGAATGGAAAATATGGAGTTGAAAGGAATGGATAATGGAGTCAAAATGAACCCATTCATCTGGTTCTACGCTGCTTTTCAGGAGGAAAAGTGATGTTTTTTCTCATTAAATCCAAATTTCTCCAGATTTTCCCGTCAGTGTCAACAGGTTGGTTCTGATTTGTAAACCCCGTCCCCCACAGCACATTTTGGTCACTGGAAAAGACCTGGACAGAGGATCTCCCTGGATTTCCAGTGCAGTGGGAAGTTGGCTGGTCCCACAGGAGGTTGGTGTTTCTGCTGATACCTCATCTCCGCCTTCCTCCTGACTCCTCCTCACTGGCTGGGCCACATCTCTACAATCCTACTGATTTTATCCTGGCCTTTCCTCTTGGAAAAGCCTCCATCTCAGAGCAGCAAACAAGGTCACCATTGGATTTTCCTCATCCATGCTCCTAAGGGATTTATTCCCTTTATTACGCCATTAGTAAATAACTTGTTGTATTTTTCCCAAGTCCCTGACTTATGGGAACTAATTAAAGCAGAACCAAATAACCACTGTGGTACCATTCCTGAGGCCATCCCAAATCCAGCAGCTTTCAGGAGCATCCCAATCCCTGCACCCAGGCTGTGGGGAGCCATCCAGGGGCAGACAAGGAAAAAAAAATTTATTAAATACACAGCTCAGATTATTAGAAACCCTTAAAAATTATGCAAGTGCCTCAAAAATCAAACAGGACAGGAAAATCCTGAAAGGATGTGGCTGCTGAGCCCAGCTGGAGCCAGTGGTTTCCTTTGGAATCCATCCAGAACACACAGAGTTGGGATGAGCTTTTCCATCCTGATCAACCAAAAAATCTGCAACACCCAGATAATTCCTAAGCAGCTCTGAGTATGTGGTGGTTATTTTCTAATAAATATTTTTCTTTGTTGGTTTTTTTCTTTTTTCAGGAAAGATATGACAGGGTTGGGGATGTCACCTCTAAATATTTGTCCCACAGCAGAAATCCACCCAGGACCAGCAGCACAAAGGTTGGCATTGTCCCTGCTGTTATCTGCAAACAGCTTTATTATTAAAACACGGTGAAATCCATAAAAAAATAAGAGGTAAAAAGATAACGCACAGCCCGGTGCTTTAAACTTTGTTGCTTTAACCTTATGAAGAGGGAATTTTGGATTTACGCCTTTGATCCCTCTCAGCCAGGGGAGAATGAAATCCTGATTAGAAGCAGACAGGAAATAAAACAAACCTCTCCCAATCACGTGGAAGATGAAAGAAATGGGTCCATGTGGGATCTGGAGGCAGAATTTGGGATTAATTTTTTTATTCCAAACAACACCAGGAAGGTTTCACAAGCCCCACTCATCATTTTAAGACATCAGCAGTTTGCAGTGAGACCACCAGGAGCAAAAAATGAGGATTTGATCCTGAGTTACAGCACCAAAAAATGAGGGTTCACATCCCAAAAAGAGGAGTTTGTCACAGCACAGCTCCAACTCTCATCAATAATTAACGAATTATCAGCATAAAGGACAAACAGCCACAGAATTAAGGTTGGAAAAGACCTCCAATATTATCAAATCCAACCATTATAGAGATAGTTTATGTTAAAGCACAACAAGGTTGAAATAACAGCAGGAATTCCTCCCAAGGAGACAAGAATTTGTTGGGTTTGCTCATCCGAAGCACAAAACTCTTTTGTTTTTGCAGAACTGATCAAAGCCTTCCAGTTGAGGCCGTTGGTTTTCCCAGTGTCCCATTTGTGAGACCGACTTCTCACCCAGCCCCTCTCCAAATCCTGTGTGGCAGCACTCGGTCACCAGTTTGGAAAAGTGGCTGGTGCCAGAAATCCTCCAGCTGCTCCCTAAAATATCCACATCCTCCCTCTGCTAATTGCAAAGACCTTAATTGCCAGCTTCTAATGAATGGCAAGAAACCGTGAACGAATGGAGAGAATTCGCTCCCCCACCTCCATTTTCTGTTTGAAACAGGTTTAATTACAGGCAAATAATTATAAATTTAAAATCCTCTGGGTTAGAAACTTGTCCAGAGCGAGGCAAGCAGGGCCAAAATTTTAAATTGTGGGATTTAGGGAAGTCCTTACATAGCAAGCACCTGCCACCATTATTGTCACCATTTGTCACCATGAGCACATTCCACCTGCTCATTCCATACACACAGGTAGGGTGAAACCAGGAATTTCTGCAAACATGGAAATACCCAATGCCAGATACCTAAATATTTAATATTTCATTAATATTTTGAGTATGAACACCGGGGTACACATAGTTCTGTCTTTCATGGGGGGGCAAATATTTGGTGACGTTTAAGGTAATGATGATATTTCACAGAGAGTGGAGTGGCAAAAAATATCTTGCATTAAAGTAATATTAAATACTTAAGAACTCAATATCCAAAATTAGATATTAAATATATTTTATACATATATAAATAAAAATATTTAATATATAAATATATATATTAAGTATTCAATTAATTATAGATTAATTCAGTGTTCAGCACACTTATTTTCTTTGGTGTTCACTCACACAAGTGTAAAAATAAAAAATAAGGAAGGAGATATAAATATATTGATACAGATATGAATGCACTGTCTCCAGACATATGGTTGGTTCCCAAAATCCTACAAAATTCTAATTTTCTGCAATGGTGGATTCTCTTTAGGAATCCTATAAGCCCTAAGAAGCTTCACCAGGGGCGTAAACAATTTTTCATTCAGTCCCAAGCCCCTTTTATCCAGGACTTTTAGCCAAAACAGCCCAAATTTGCACAAAACTTTTATTTTCAAGAATTATTGATGACCTACCAGCTGCTGCAGGGCTAAACCTCTGCTGGCAGAGCAGATACGAGGCACGGGCAGATATTTTTTCCCTCAGAATCCCCTCGGTTCCTTGCGTGGAGCCGAGCGCTCATCCCAACCTAACGGAAGCTGGCACGTCCCGCTCGGAATTTGGTGGTGGGTCACACGAGTCCCACATTTCAGTTTGGATCGTTTTGGGGATCACGCAGGCAGTTTGTGACACAGAAATCACTGAGAAAACCAAAGTCCTCAACTGGAAGGCTTTGATCAGTTCTGCAAAAATAAAGTTTTGTGCTTCGTATGAGCAAACCCAACAAATTCTTGTCTCCTTGGGAGGAATTCCTGCTGTTATTTCAACCTTGCTGTGCTTTAACTTAAAATATCGCTATAATGGTTGGAATTTGATGATGTTGGAGGTCTTTTCCAACTTTAATTCCGTGACTGTTTGTCCTTTATATTGATAATTCCACCTGCCCAGCTCTGGCGGCACCTCGGAGGCGGGAAGGCCGTTCCCATTCCCGATTATTCCCGCCTGCCCTTTGCCCCACCATGGTGCAAATGAACCATTGGAGGCCCCGAGCAGCAGCCTGGTTGCCAACTTGTCAGGTCTCATTAGGGAGGGGACAACTCGGCCTCGTTGGCACCGGAGCTGGGGACAATGGAAGGTCCCAACCCTCCCTGGAGAGGAGGCCGGATATCAGAGCTCTGGATTTAGGGGAGAAGTGTTGATGGAGGGAACAGTTCTTTTCAAGGATGGCTTTGTTCCTTCTGTCCTCCTCAGGCTCAGCTGGCTGACCATGACCAAACCCACAACCTGGGCCAGCTGCAACCTGGCAGTAAAAACACCATCCCAGGAAGGAAAAAAAAGAGGGAAAAAAGGAGTCAGAGACCAAATCTTCCCATACCAACACTCAGCCAAAGCCAGGCAGGAAGGAATTCCTGATTCATGGGTATTTCCATGTTCTCCTCACTCAAGTACGGCACAGGTTGTGGCATTCAGGGCCTTTCACCTCACCCCCAGATGGAGAATTTCCCTGCTCTCCCTGGATTTCCAGAAGAGTGGGAAGTTGCCTAGTTGGAGCCCTGGATTTAGGGGAGAAGTGTTGATGGAGGGGACAGTTCTTTTCAAGGATGGCTTTGTCCCTTCTGTCCTCCTCAGGCTCAGCTGTTTGACCATGACACCCATGA